AGCTTTCTCAGTTTCAGACGTTGTATAGGATTGGGCGACATGTAAAGAAAAATAAGCCTCCAGAAATCTGCCCGACTCTTAGGGAGGCCCGAGTCCTTTGCAATCTGGACGGAAACGCAGTGGAGCAGGTGGAAAGAGATGCCGCAGTCACGCCACTAGGGGCGGGGGCCATACGGAGGCTGGGAGAGAGAAGTCTCAGCAGTGATGGGATATTCAGAAGTGAACGTTCATTCATTTTCCTGAGAAAGAGAGAAAGAAACACAAGAAAAAGAAAGGAAGAGAAGAGGGAGTGGCCACGACACACAGAGGAAGGAAGGAAGTGGCCGGCAGCGGAGGGAAGTCAACTGGCTGTTTAAAGGGTAAAAATTGCTTTTGTCCTGTTTCAGCAGACTGGTAACAGACGCAGCTGTGACATGTGAGAGGGTCCTTTATTCATTTTCTTCTCTGTGCGGCTGGGTTGTCTGGATCCTTGGATCCGGGTTTTGGCAGGAGCTGAGGCAGGAAGGCGGAGTGGGGGTTCGCACGGCCTACGTTCTGCACAGCGCCTCCCAAGGCTAGAAGGAACTCGTAGACAGGAGTTAGGTTACAGGTGTTTAAATAGAAATACAGGGTAGTTTTGCTGTGAGTTTACTCCCTCACTTTCTGTGGGGTTATTCTCCTCTGTTACGGTAGGTATTAGTGAGACCACCTTCACACACCCACGAGGCGGTGCTGCTGTGCCCACAGGGGACTCCACCAGGATCCCCCACGGCTGCTGCCGTGTACAGTGTGGGCCAGTGGGCAGGTGGGGCCAGGTGAGGCAAGTGGGGAAGGGGGCCAAGTGAGGCCAGGTGAGGCAGATGGGACAGGTGGGGGCAGGTGGAGGAGGCTGGGCCAGGTGAGGCAGATGGAAGTGGACAGTGGCGGGTGGGACAGGTGAGGCCAGTAGGGCCAGGGTGAGACACAATGCTCTGGCCCAGCACCCCCCCCTGCCTTCCGGTAGGTGGCCACTCACACGCACTCTCCTGCACAACAGCCTGTGCATCCCTGCCCAGCCTCGCCTCCGTCCCCAGGGTCCACCATGAGGTTGAGTGGGCTGCGCCTCTCCCCCCACTCGAGACAGAACTCTGGGTCACAAAAGGGCCAGCACCTCAGAACCGACGGGAAGCGAGGATTTGGGACATTTCATCAGAAAGACAGTGCCACACAGAACATAGACACTGGGACTTAAAAATGCCCTTCCAGGGACGAACACAGGAAGGCTAGTGCTTTCAGCACGAGAGTGAGATTTAATGTTTATATCTTTGTTTAAAAGGATTAAAAAAAAGTAGGGTATGAGAAATACAGATAATTATCTTCCAAATATAGAAAAACATTTCCAATAGGTCTGACAAGTAATTTTAAAAAGATAAGCTGGATTCAGAGCAGACCTGCCACTCTGCAAGGAGTTACCCTTCTCGCAGGAAGATTCCTACTACATTACTGCCAAAAAGAAAACAGCAGGCCTATTTCCGGACGTTTTCTATGCCCCGTTGGGTGGAAAACAGTATCAGTTCACTCCCTCACTGACAACAAAAGGAAAAGTCTACATTCAGACAAGAATATAAAATGCGTTTTTAATATCATAAACAGATATTTCATATTTCTTAGGAATGGTGCTATTATTGTGCACAAAATCACAGATTCTTCAAGAAAACTGGTCTAAATGTCCAAAATGCTGCTCTAAGTGTCCAAAAAAGGCCTCGGAGACCTGCAGCCTCATACAGGAGCATTCAGTCTCATTGCTTAACCCGCCCCCAGCTCTGCCACCACCAGAGAGGCTGACGGACCTGAAGGTTCCCGGGTCCGTTTGCAAAGTCGGACTCCTAACCTGTCTCTTCCTAAGAGCCCAGCCAGGACCCCGGACCCGCCAAGGGACTCCGACCAGAAGAGCACCCTCCCTTGCCAAGCCTGAGCTCAACACAGACCGGAAAAGCAAGCCCGACTTTTGTCCCGGGATCTGAAGTCACATCCTGAAAGATCTGGTTACACAGCAACGAAACGTACACGCGTTTCCAGGGCTTCTTAATTTCCAGTGAGGATAATGTCAACAGAAGGTTCCTGGCTCCCCCTAACAGGGAGAAGTGGAGCAGGCCTAGCATCTCAGGCAGGGTCTTGTGCTGGTGCTGTGGTGCAGTTCACAGAGGGCCTGGACCGACTTGTCTGCAGGTCCACAGCCAACAGGTCCTGCCAGGACTGCTCCGCGCACCTGACTAGCCCCAAGGACCTTTCTTTCCTTTCCCTGGATACAGAGCAGGTTCTCAGAGATTTAGGATGAAAACCAACATGCAGGGCCTTGGACTTGGAGGCGGGGCTTTGGACTTGGAGGCAGGATCTTAGCCTGGGAGGCGGGGCCTTGTACTTGGAGGCGGGGCCTTGGACTTGGAGGTGGGGCTTTGGACTTGGAGATGGGGCTTTGGACTTGAGGATGGGCTTTGGACTTGGGAGGTGGGCCTTGGACTTGGAGGTGGGGCTTTGGACTTGGAGAGGGGGCTTTGGACTTGGAGGCGGGGCTTTGGACTTGGAGATGGGGCTTTGGACTTGGAGGTGGGGCTTTGGACCTTGGAGGGGGGCTTTGGACTTGGAGGGGGCTTTGGACTTGGAGGCGGGTTTGGACTTTGAGATGGGGCTTTGGAACTTGGAGGGGGGCTTTGGACTTGGAGAGGGCTTTGGACTTGGAGGCGGGGCTTTGGACTTGGAGGCGGGCCTTTTTGGACTTGGAATGGCGCTTTGGAACTTGGAGGCCGGCGGCTTTTGGACTTGGAAGATGGGGCTTTGGACTTGGAGATGGGGCTTTGCGGACTTTGCGAGTCCGGGGGCTTTGGACTTTGGAGATGGGGCTTTGGCTTGCGAATGTGGACTAGTGGGGCTTTGGACTTGGAGATGGGGCTTTGGACTGAGGCGGCTTTTGGATGGAAAATGGGGCTTTGGACTTGGAGGCGGGGCTTTGGACTTGGAGGCCGGGGGCGCTTTTGGACTTGGGCGGGGACTTGAGAGGCCTTTGGCACTTGGGAGTCGGGGCTTTGGACATTCGGAGATGGGGCTTTGGACTTTGGAAGCGAGGGGCTTTGCGACTTGGAGATGGGGCTTTGGACTTGGAGCGGGGGCTTTGGAACTTGGAGATGGCGGGTCTTTGGACTTGGGAGGCGCGGGCTTTGGGCCACCTTGGAGATGGGGCTTTTGGACTTGTTTTTGACGGGGCTTTGGACTGGAGATGGGCGCTTTGGACTTGGAGGTGGCGCTTTGGACTTGGGAGGCGGTGCGGCTTTGGACTTGCGAGAGCGGGGATCTAGTCTGGAGCGGGCGGCCTGTCGGACTTTGGAGGCGGGGGCTTTGGGACTCTTGGAGGCGGTGATCTTAGCCTGGGGGCCTTGGAGCTGGGCGGGCCTTGTGGACTTGTGCTGCTGAGCTGCTTACGGGCTGGTGAGTTCCGGACACTCGGTGGGATGAGGAGGGACAGGGACCAGGGGCCTTGTCACGTGGGGGGTCTGGAGGTCGTTGGAGACCGGGTCTGGGGACCTGCTTGCCACGGCTAACCAGGTACTCAAAGGAGAGTCTCCCGGTGGGACCCGGAGCCGGGGAGTGCGGGGCCCGTACCTTCTCCTGAATGACCGAGAGGTACCAGGGCGTCCTCTTTTTCAGGTGGCTCTGAGAGGCGGCTGTGCTGCTGGTGACCGGACTCAAAGTCTGGGATCTGCTCGTCTTCCTCAAATAACTGAACTCGCAGGCGCTCTTACTGAACACCGGGAGGTGCCCTGCGGGGAAGCAGAGGACCAGTGAGGAACCAGCCACGTGCCTGCCGAGCCCCTCTGCCGTCTTGGCGACAGCGTCCACGCCCCGAGACTCCCCTCAGGGACGCCTGCCGCCCAGTCGGCCCCCGACCGCCTCTGACCCTTCTCACCATCGTTCCCAGGACGCGTGAGCACCGCGCCCCGCCCAGACCTGAGCCAGCTTTGCGGGAGCGAAGGACGCGTCCGAGCGCTGGTCAAGACGCCCAGCATAAAGGAACCAGAGCCGGGGCCGGGACACGAGGGACATCCCGAGGCTGGCCCCGTGCACCTGACAGTCCATTCCCCTCCTTGGGCCTCAGTTTCCCCACCTTTAAACTGAGGGGGTGCATTATCTACCTTCCCCAGCCCAACGGGAACAGGTCACTACCGCTCTAGGTTTGCTCAAATTAGTGTGGATTTCGTCGTTAGGTAACAAAAGTAAGTCTGTCCGTCTGTGGAGCAGTGTCCCGTGACCTCTACCTGGAGGGAGGGATGCCTCCCCTAAGCCAGGTAGGGGACAGGCTCTTCAACTGCAGTTCCGCCAGAGACAGGGAACCGCTGTCGGGGGCCACAGCAGACGCGGCCAGGGAGGGCGGAGCTGCTCTGTCTCAGGGAGCCCGGCCTGTCTCGTGGCTCCTCAGAGGCGGGCGTCCCCGCAAGGGGCTCTGCGGGCAGGTGCCCTGGGGGGAGCAGGCCACCTGGTCAGGGCCCCAGCAGGTGCGGGCAGAGGCCCTCAGGGCTCCCTCACCGTCCAGGCTCGTGTCCGAGAACCGCCTGGTCAGAAGCAGTTCCGGGGTGGGCACCCACATGTCCAGGCTGAGGCGCACCTCTGCGGACAGGTCGAGCTGGGTGGAGGAACCTGCAGAGCGTCGGAGATGCCACCGTGACTGCCGCGGTCTGATCTCCCCGAGACCCCCAGGGCAGGCACTTCTTAAGCACCAGGGAGGGCGAAGGTGACTTTCGTTCGTTTGTTTGTTTAAATAGTGTTTAATATTGATTGGGGGTGGGGAGAAAGAGAAAAATGTATTACTTAAAGATATTATACCATATACATTTTGTATGTCATTAAATCTTAAAAGAAATTAAATACATTTATTCTTGTTTACAGATGTCTAGTGAGTTTAATCATTCTGATAAATGATCTGACATTTTCAGAGTATCAATTTATTTTGAGTATCACTGTTTTTATTTATTTATTTTATTTTGGGGGGATTTTTTTTTTATAGTTTATTAAGAAGAACTAATCAGTCACATTTGAGACTGCTTTGTTAGACTTTCTGTGCTGGTAAGGCCCCAAATGCTGGCAGATATGGTAGTGTAGAAAGCTTTGGGACTTATTCAATCCTGCGATGGGCATGTTCACAGCATGGAAGGACATTTTAGGCAGAGTGTTCTGATTAATTCCAGTGTCATGAAATTTTAAATTGATGTGCTTCATGTGGGTGAACTCTCACTAAATATCATAAAAACTAGATGAAATATTTGAATGAAAATTTCCCTGTCTACTTCTGTCAAAGTGAAGAAATTCAATGAAGCGCGGGTAAAAAAAAAAATAATAAAAAAAAAATAACAAAATTGTCTTGTTCTTTAATTCTGAAGGTGACTCTTCTCCCCGGGTGTATGGGACCGAGCCTGGGCTCCACCCTCCTGCCACCGAGGTGCCCCTCCGAGGCCGGGCCCTGGGGCAGCCGGGTCTCCGCAGTCGATGGCTCCTCCCCCCTGAAAGGGCAGATCCCACTTTCTTTTGCAAGAACATGCTCCCCAAAAGTCTCGGGAAGACCCCTGCCTCTAGACTAGCCCACCCCAAGGGCAGACCCCGTTTCCTCCAAACTGGCAGGGATAGTCCCAATGACAGGCGTCCGCGAGCGGGATGTGGACACAGACCCCACACCCAGGGGGCCGCGTGGCCCCTCGACCTTCCCAGGGACCTGCCCAGAGCCACTCAAGGCCTGGGGTGCCGGCCACCCGCCAAGACCCGCGTGCTGAGAAAAGGGGTGCGTCAGGCCAAGGCAACTGGGGGGCCCCGCTGCCGCCTGACTGCAGCTGAGATCCCCGGGAGGAGCCCCCGTGGCTGAGCCTGGAGCCACCGTCCCCCAAGGACACTGTCTGTGTGGGGGCATGGGACAAGCCGGGGCCAGGAGCCGGGACTGGGCATGAAGCTGTGGCCCTGAGCAGCGTCCTCCCACGTGACCACCGAGCTGGGCAGCTGCTCCCTGAACCCCACGTTCTCACGGAACCTCGAGAGGTTGATGACAGGGCCGCCATGAGCTACGGGTGTCTTTGGCCTCATGGGCTTGGGCTTTTTCTGAGTCTTCCAGAGTCTTCAGCCATCTCCCCGTGCCCTGCCCCAATCCTGCTGAGCCGTGAATGGCACGAGGGAAGTCAGAAAGCCGGAGAGAGACAATGACAATGGCAAGGAGGAGGGCCGTCCCCTCGGCCCCAGGCCCACGCGGCCCATGCTGGCTGGCCGAGCAGCGCAGAGTTCCCCCGACTCCCAGGGGGCAGGCGGGTTCCCGGGCGGCCCTGGCGGGGCTCTCACCGCAGTTCGAGACAGGCGTGGCCCTGGTGCTGAGCTGCGGGCAGTTGGGACGCATGAGGAAGGCCTTGCGAAGCCCCTCCATTTCCGACTCGAAGCCGCCGGAGACGGCGCTGTCCTTGGGCTCTCGCTGGGTGAGAGAAGGGAGGACAGTCGCGGAAAGGCGGGACCCTCAGGTCTGTGTGCCCACTGCCACCGCCTGGCCGGGCCCCTTCCCGGCAAGAGCCACGCGGACCCTGCTTTGGAAACCAGGTAAGTGCAGGTAAGGCGTCCATCTGCCTCCCCGGCAGGACTCAGGCCCCAGCTTGTGGATGCAGTCACCCTCCCCGGCTGCACTTCCCTTCCTCGGTGTCTCCCCTGCCCTTCACTGTCCTTGCCAGGACACTCCTGAGGAAGGCTGGGGCCCACGATCCTCTTCCCTCTCCAGGCCAGAGAAAGCTCGGTCTGCAGGGGGTCGACCCTGAGCAGCGGGCTTCCCGTGGAAGCCAGGGAGCTGGGGGGCTGAGGCCCAGGCTCTCCGGAAGGGAGAGGCCGGCAGGGTTTCTTCCCCTGGAATCTACCTATGGTCGCCAGACACCTGCGCAACGCTCTATCAGCCGACACCCGTGGGGCCTTGGGAAGCGGGTCTCCTTCAAATTAGCTGCACTTGGCCAGAGCCCCCCTCCCGAGCCCCCGTACCTTCTTCCCGTAGTAGCGGCTGATGGCCTGGGCGGGCTTGCTGAGGGGGCCCTGCTTGCGGGGCAGTGTCAGTTCTGCATACTGTGTGTTCCGGGTGGCCAAGCCCTGCAGGACCACCAGGCCCTTGGCCATGGTGCTGGGCATCGTGCTGTGCTGCTCAGACGTTCTGGCTTCTTTGGGTAACATCGGGGGGGGGGGACACGAGGACCAAGGTTTGCCACCTGAATGAGGGCAGGCGGACCTGCTCCGGGGGACCTCTCTTCAGTCTGGCTTGGGGCGTCGAGGGGGACACGGCCTCTGGCTGGGACCTGCCTACAGGTTCAGGCGAGAGAAGCCCCACTTCCAAAGCTCCATGTCCTGTGGGCTCCTGGGAGCGCTGGTGGCATCACAGATGTCTCCATAGAAACAGGGCATGTCACAGTCGTCTCAATTTTTTGCAATTAGGGAAAGGGGCTGGGAAGGGGCCTCAGGACCTGTTCCCGCCATCTCAGGGTGTCAAAGTGCAGGAGAGCTGGCCCGGGGCACGGGCAGCCCGTCCTTGCTTCTGTGGGGCTTCTCCTGCATCTTCACATCAGCATTTCCCTGATTGAAAGTGTGCTGCTGTGTCCGTGGCCCCATCACAGAAATGTTAATGTCCTTGGCGAAACCCCCCAATTTAGAAGCGCTTGTTAACATTGAGGGTGGGGAGAGAGGCTCATTGTTATTTTGTGTGTGTGTGGGTGGGTGGTAAAATACACATAAAATTTGCTGTCTTAACCATTTTTAAACATAGAGTTCAGCGGCATTAAGAACCCTCACATTATTGCACAGCCATCCCCACCGGCCGCCTCCAGAACTTTCCTCCGGGGCACGCAGAAACTTGCCTTTATGGCCTGAGCTGCCTCTCCTGGTGGCTCTGAGGGGCATGTCCCTAATGGTCAGGGACACTGAGCGTCTTCTCATGTGCTCATTGGTCATCTGCGTGTCTCCTTTGGAAAATTCCTATGCACGTTTTTACATTGTTTTTTGTGTGTGCGTGTGGGGGTGGAGGGTGTTTTGTTTAGTTTTTACATATTCTGGATAACTAATCCCTTATCAGATATAAGATTTGCAGATATCCACTCCCATTCTGTGGGCTGTCTTTTCACTCGTTTGAATGATCTCTGATCACAAGATATTTTAATTTTTTCTTTGTTTTTTTGAAAAGAGTCTCGTTTGTCGCCCAGCTAAGAGTGAGATGCATGGCGTCACGCCTAGTCACAGCAACTCAAACTCCTGGGCTCAAGCAAACCTCTGCCTCAGCTCACGAGTCTGACTACAGGCATGCGCCACCGATGCCCGGCTAATTTTTCTATATTATTAGTTGGCAATTTAATTTCTTTCTATTTATAGTAGAGACGGGTCTCGCTCTTGCTCAGGCTGGTTTGAATTCCTGACCTCTCAGCGATCCGCCCGCCTCGGCCTCCCAAGAGCTAGGATTACAGGCTGTAGCCACCGCGCCCGGCCTAAGTAGTTTAATTTTGATGAAGTCCAATGTATCTGTTTTTTATCTTGCTGCCTGGTGTCATGTCTGAGGAATCACTGCTAAATCTGATGTCATGTTTTCTTCTAAGAGTTTGGTTTACTCACTATTAAGTCGTCTGATCGTTTTGAATTAATTGTTGTTATGGGTCAATATTCTAGCACATGGTTGGTGCTGCAACTTAATATTAGTTGAGTGAATAAAGCGTTTCTGTCTGAAACTTCCCGATGAAGAATACTGAAAAGCCAGAACTCCAGTTTATTTCCAAACTTCATTCAGTAGCTATTTAGGGCCAGCAAATAAGCCAGGCCTGTTTTAGGCGCCGGGGTTAGTGGGGTGGATACGTGACCACCTCTCCGCCCTGGAGCTAGGGTCAACCTGGAGACATTGTGTTTGCCTTATTTTTTCCCCAGGTGTGACCCATGAATGCACCCACAAATTCTGACCCTGAATTCAACATCTAGGAAGGGGTTCAAACACCCTGAGCATCTACGCTTCTCTTTCTCTTGTTAAATAGAACCATGACTTTTTTGCGTGACAGTAGTTACTCCAGCTAAGACAACGTGTCTCAGCCATTCAAGGAAGTCCCTGGGTTTCCAGAGAGCCTTTAAGACGATTGAAGGGCTGCCAGGTCAAGGTGTCTTCTCCTACCTCCCACTTTCTCCATCTTTGAAACAATGTCCAGAGGTCCAGACTAGGAGGTGACCTTGCAAATGAGACTGATTTGGCCAAGAAAGACCTAGAGGAGAGAGAGAAGCCTGGCTCCCTGCCCCTGATCTACCAGGCCTCAAATTTCTTGTCTCACAAGGTCATTCCTAATCCCATCCTTTCTAACTTTGCAAAAAATTGATTTACCACCCCAAAAATGCCTTCAACTTTTTTTTGCATCTAAATAAAAATGACAAAATAAGCCTATTATATTTAATTTTGGCATCCATCATATACCAATAATACATTTGTCATATGGACAACTATACCATGTGCTCATAAATTTTTTTTTTTTTTGAGATGATCTCATTTGTTGCCCAGGCTAGAGTGAGTGCCCGTGCGTCAGCCTACCACACACCTCAACTCTCCTGGCCAAATGAGATCCTCCGGCCTCAAGCTCCCGATATCTGGACTACATCCATACCCACCATGCCTCTTAATTTCTATATATATAGTTGCCAATTAATATCTTTCTATTTATATAGATACAGTCTCATCTTCCAGGCTGGTTTCGAACATCCTGACCATCAGAATCCGCCCGCGGCCTCGCCAGAGTGCTAGTACAGGCGTGAGCCACCATTCCCTCTATAAGATTATAATGCCATATTTTTACATACCTTTTCTATGTTTAGACAATAAATACCACCGTGTTACAGTTCCACTATTCAGAATATAACTAGCGTACAGGTTAGCCTAGCAATGGCTTACCATACAGCCCAGTTCGTTAGGCCCACCATCGAGGTTGTGTAAGATCATTCTTAGATGTCTTAATGAAACTGCCTAGAGGCATTTCTAAACGTAATCCTGCCCATAGTATTGCATGGATCGTGCTGTTATTTTTTTATTTTTGGAGACAGAATCTCCTCTTCCCTTCCCGGGCTAGATCAGTGCACCATCACAGACCACTGCAACCTAAACACTCCTGGCTCAAGCGAATCCTCCTCTCAGCCTCCTGAGTAGACATCGGACACAGTTGCCACCGGCTAAGCTCTCTAAATTTTTATGAGAGGGTCTCGCTCTTGCTCAGCTGGTCTCGACTCCTGAGCTCAAGAAATCTCCTCCTCAGGCCCCCATATGCAGAATTACAGCTGAGACACCCTGCCTTGGCCAAATGACAATATTTTAAATGAAAGAGAGCTATATTAACGAGCCTCAAATATGAAATTCTCACCTTGTCATTTCTTTTTGTAATATTTTAAATCTCATATGCGCTTTCTAATGTTTGAACGTGGCCACATTAAATTGTCCCAACTTGCTGAGGTCCAACATGTTTGAAAATCACACAAGTCCCTCCTTTGTGTTTACACTGGTAATTTAAATCAGTTTAACAGCTCCTTATAGACTAAAACATTCAGTAGATTTCATTCAGTTAACAGAAATTCATAGTGACAGGTTGATCAAAGAGAAGCCATTATTTAACAGGAAACTTACACTGGACAGATCAAATCATACAACAAATCAAGCTTCTGTTATCGTGACTTCATGTGCAGATACCTAGAATTCCCATATAGAGCAATGCTGAATTGGCTTTAAATCAGGCTGTGTCATTGAGAAAATTATGTGGAAGGGGGAGAGCTGGAGGCCATGCCATTCATGGACAGGTTTAGCGCAGGTATTCCCTGCTGCAGCCCCAACCCCCCAGTGCAAGGGCGCAGGCGGCTTGCGGTGAAGTGAGGCCGTAGTAAGGCAACCTCACCTATTTTTCTCACGTCCCAGGGCTCAAGGTTTCGTCTTCCCTGCATCCAAACTCACCACAGGGGCTGCGTGTCCTGGTACTCACGGAATACGCAACCTGGGTTCAGCTGCTCATTTAATAAAGCCATGTATTTGGTTGAAAAGCTTAAATGCAAGTCACTTCTTATAAAGATAGCACCTTAATAAGAAATAAAAGACCTCTTGATATCGGACAATCCCTGTGGTGGGCAAGAGGCTCCTTGGAATAACAGGGGGGGGGGACGCCAAAGTTGCTTGCCAGCGCCTGAAAAGGCATCCGAATGGCAGGCTCCTCTCCGGCTGGCCCACCCAAGGCTACCTATCCAAACCCACCTTCCAAGTCCAAACCCCATCTCCATCCAAAGCCGCCTCCAAGTCCACGGCCCCCGCTCCAGGCTAAGATCCCGCCTCCCAGTCCAAACCCCGCCTCCAAGTCCAAGCCCCCGCCTCCCAGGCTAAATCCCGCCTCCAGTCCAAGCCCCGCCTCCAGTCAAGCCGCTCCATATAAGATCCCCGCTCCAGTCAAAGCCCCGCTCCAGTCAAAGCCCCCTCCAGTCCAAACCCATCCCAAGTCAAAACCCGCCCAATCCAAACCCCACTCCAGTCCAACGCCTCAAGTCCAAAGCCCGCTCCAGTCCAAAGCCGGCCTCCCAATCAACCCCATCTCCAAGTCCAAAGCCCGCCTCAAGTCCAAGCCCCATTCCAAGCAAAGCCCCATATCAAGTCCAAACCGCCTCCAGTCCAAGGCCCCTCCATCCAGCCCCGCCTCCCAGCTAAGATCCTGCCTCCAATCCAAGCTCGCCCAAGTCCAAGGCCCTGCATGTTGGTTTTCATCCTAAATCTCTGAGAACCTGCTCTGAGTCCAGGGAAAGGAAAGAACAGGTCCTTGGGGCTAGTCAGGTGCGCGGAGCAGTCCTGGCAGGACCTGTTGGCTGTGGACCTGCCAGACAAGTCGGTCCAGGCCTCTGTGAACTGCACCACAGCACCAGCACAAGACCCTGCCTGAGATGCTAGGCCTGCTCCACTTCTCCCTGTTAGGGGGAGCCAGGAACCTTCTGTTGACATTATCCTCACTGGAAATTAAGAAGCCCTGGAAACCGTGTACGTTTCGTTGCTGGTGTAACCAGATCTTTCAGGATGTGACTTCAGATCCCGGGACAAAAGTCGGGGCTTGCTTTTCCGGTCTGTGTTGAGCTCAGGCTTGGCAAGGGAGGGGTGCTCTTCTGGTCGGAGTCCCCTTGGCAGGGGTCCCGGGGGTCCTGGCTGGGTCTCTTAGGAAGAAGACAGGTTAGGAGTCGGACTTTGCAAACGGACCCGGGAACCTTCAGGGTCCGTCAGCCTCTCTGTGTGGTGGCAGAGCTGGGGGCGGGTTAAGCAATGAGACTGAACGCTCCTGTATGAGGCTGCAGGTCTCCGAGGCCTTTTTTGGACACTTAGAGCAGCATTTTGGACATTTAGACCAGTTTTCTTGAAGAATCTGTGATTTTGTGCACAATAATAGCACCATTCCTAAGAAATATGAAATATCTGTTTATGATATTAAAAACGCATTTTATTATTCTTGTCTGAATGTAGACTTTTCCTTTTGTTGTCAGTGAGGGAGTGAACTGATACTGTTTTCCACCCAACGGGGCATAGAAAACGTTCCGGAAATAGGCCTGCTGTTTTCTTTTTGGCAGTAATGTAGTAGGAATCTTCCTGCGAAGGGTAACTCCTTGCAGAGTGGCAGGTCTGCTCTGAATCCAGCTTATCTTTTTAAAATTACTTGTCAGACCTATTGGAAATGTTTTTCTATATTTGGAAATAATTATCTGTATTTCTCATACCCTACTTTTTTTTAATCCTTTTTAAACAAAGATATAAACATTAAATCTCACTCTCGTGCTGAAAGCACTAGCCTTCCTGTGTTCGTCCCTGGAAGGGCATTTTTTTTAAGTCCCAGTGTCTATGTTCTGTGTGGCACTGTCTTTCTGATGAAATGTCCCAAATCCTCGCTTCCCGTCGGTTCTGAGGTGCTGGCCCTTTTGTGACCCAGAGTTCTGTCTCGGAGTGGGGGGAGAGGCGCAGCCCACTCAACCCTCATGGTGGACCCTGGGGACGGAGGCCGAGGCTGGGCAGGGATGCACAGGCTGTTGTGCAGGAGAGTGCGTGTGAGTGGCCACCTACCGGGAAGGCAGGGGGGGGTGCTGGGCCAGAGCATTGTGTCTCACCTGGCCTACTGGCCTCACCTGTCCCACCTGTTCCATCTGCCTCACCTGGCCCACCTGCCTCACCTGCCCCCACCTGTCCCATCTGCCTCACCTGGCCTCACTTGGCCCCCTTCCCCACTTGCCTCACCTGGCCCCACCTGCCCCACCTGGCCCACACTGTACACGGCAGCAGCGTGGGGGATCCTGGTGGAGTCCCCTGTGGGCACAGCAGCACCGCCTCGGTGGGTGTGTGAAGATGGTCTCACTAATGACCTACGTAACAGAGGAGAATAACCCCACAGAAAGTGAGGGGAGTAAACTCACAGCAAAACTACCCTGTATTTCTATTTAAACACCTGTAACCTAACTCCTGTCTACCAGTTCCTTCTCAGCCTTGGGGAGCGCTGTGCAGACAGTAGGCGTGCGAACCCCCACTCCGCCTTCCTGCCTCAGCTCCTGCCAAAACCCGGATTCCAAGGACTCAGACAACCCAGCCGCACAGAGAAGAAAATGAGATAAAGGACCCTCTCACATGTCACAGCTGCGTCTGTTACCAGTCTGCTGAAACAGGACAAAAGCCATTTTTACCCTTTAAAACAGCCAGTGACTTTCCCTCCGCTGCCCGGCACTTCCTTCCTTCCTCTGTGTGTCGTGGCCACTCCTCCTTCTCTCTCTTTCTTTTCTTTGTTTCTTTCTCTCTTTCTCAGGAAAATGAATGAACGTTCACTTCTGAATATCCCCATCACTGCTGAGACTTCTCTCCCAGCCTGCGTATGGCCCCCACCCTATGGCGTGGACTGCGGCATCCTTTCCACCTGCTCCACTGCGTTTCCGTCCAGTTTGCAAAGGACTCGGGCCTCCCTAGAGGTCGGGCAGATTTCTGGAGCCTTATTTTTCTTTTACATGTCCCCAATCCCTTACAACTCTGAAACTGAGAAAGCTGAGAACCAAGAGGACCGGAATGAAGCCTTTGGCCGCGCAGCCTGGCTCTCGCCGACTTGCTCTCTGCCATCTTGCTTTCTTAGGTCTTGCTAAAAAACACGAGTGTGCCCTGTGAGCGTGTTTGTGACGCTGGAGACCCCCCACCCCGTGCCCCTTCTGAGGTCCAGGGAGCTCAGTCGCTCCTGTGAGGTCGGCTGGCTTGGCCCCGGGTCCTCCCTGAGGCTGAGGCAGAGGGACAACCCAGGAGAGATCCGGTGGCAGTGCCAGGGCCTGGCCGTGGAGGCTGTGACTCCTGCCTGGGGGGGGGGGGGTCGCTCTGTCTGGGTCCGAGCACCTCGGCGGTCTATTCATTTTGAGCCCATGGGGATGGTTCAGTCATGGGAGCCAGCCATTGGAACACATGCTTTATTATGTTACAAAAACAAAAATTCCCGCCAAACACAGCTAAAAAAATAACACATTTTCCCAAGATTACATTACCAAAAAAAGTTCACGTCATTGGAATACATCCATTAATACTGCTTGAAGAAGCATTATCTTACATTAAAAACATGGATGGTATTTTTTAAAAAAAAAAAAAAACCTTAAAGCATTAAAGTGCTTTAACCAGTAACAGAGAAGAGGCTGTCTGTGCGTCGGAAACACAGCGTGTTCTGAGTGACAAGGGATGCCAGGTCCCTGCGCAGAGGGCACCTGGGCTGACGGAGCAAACCGGAGTGCAGGTGACTGCCTCCCGGCTGCGGCTGCGCAGACCTGGGCCAAGGGAGGGGCCCCTTTCAGACCAACCGGAGGTGACCTCCATGGCCCCTCCCTGCCTCCCTCCCTCCCTCTCCACACTTCTGGGAAAACCTTCACCTTAAAGATTCATTTCTTCTTGATTTTGGGGTTTTATAGAGCACGGGTTTCAAACCTAGAAGGATTCTTGTTCCTGGCAATCTGCATTTTCTCTTAACCATGGCAAAGTTTAAACTCTACTAAGTCTAACAGCTTCTTCTCCAGCGGAATGAGGAGGGGGCAGGGTCAGCCAGGTTTGAGGGGGTCTGGGAAGCTTGTGTGCTCTGGGGTCCCCGATGGGAGATTCTCTGCGTGTTCCCAGGACTGACTTCCCTGCTGTATCTGTGCCACCTGCCCCCGCCAGGCCGGGGCGACAGGGATCTGCCTAAGAAGCAGATCCGTGTGAAACCCTGGAGTGCAAGTGCCTCCCCCGCCAGGGTGTGGGATGGGCCTCCTGGCTCCAGAGGTGGAGCCGGGCTAGGACTGTGGCTCCAACCTGTGGCCTCAGGGAGCAAGTGCCCAGACTGCAGCCAGCTCCCCCACGAGCTGGGTGTGATGCTGGGGCGGAGGACTTAGCCCTTCTGGCCTCAGTTCCTAACCTACGAAATGGCAGGGAGAGTGCACTTACTCTGGGGCCACATGATAGGGAGTTGAGGTGACATGCAGCCGGAGCCACCACACCTGGCTCCGGAACCCCTGAGCCCACTGCTGCCTCTGCTGTGACTGATCCTCTGGACCTAGCTGTGGCTTCTGGGGAGACGGAAGCCCCCTCCCCCCTGGAAGCTGAGCAGTCACAGCCTGCCCCAGCTGGAAGGAGCTGGAAGGACCCCGGGGATCTCAGCCCTTCCAGCCAGCCAGAGCCTCTCAGGAGCTCTGACAACCCCAGCGCCTGCTCCACCCCACACCCCACCTGGGTGTCTGCCTTGGCAAAGGGCCTCCGGGGTGTGCGGTGGGGGTACGTGGCTGAGTCGCCGTAGACACTGGCGCCTGCCCCAACACCAGTCATGCCGCTGGGTGGAGACTGGTGAGGTTTATGGTCACCGCTCTCCAAGACAAAGTCCCAGTCTGGAGCCCACCCTGCAGGGCGCTGTGTCTACATCTCCCTCTGGCCTGGGGGCTTAACTGCTTCTGGGGGGAGAGCCAGACCTGAAGGAGCTAACACCGCACATATCCCAGGCAAAGGGGTGGGGGACAGGCCACGTTGGGAGGGCCGGGCAGCTGCACGCTCAGCCCGTGTGACTCCCGTCATGCCACCTGCCTCCAGCACACACTGTGAGGGGCCCGTGCTGGCCTCCTGTCCCCTGCCCTGGTGCTGTGCTCTGGGACGGGTGATGCCCGGGCCATTTCTGTCCTCAGGATGGAAAAGGCCCCGACAGGTGGGCCCTTGAGGATGGAAAAGGCCCCGACAGGTGGGCCTTTGAGGATGGAAAAGGTCCCGACAGGTGGGCCTGTGCAGACGCTGACTCCCCTGGCCCCCTAACTCCTTGGGGTGCTTCGTGAAGGCCTGGACCCCCACACCTGCCTCAGTGCCACCCGAGACCGCCACCTCCACCAAGGACACCACTGGCTACCCCGCCTTGCACAGGGAGCCACGGGAAGTTCCCAGCCACACCCGCTGTCTGTCCTTGCCCTGCCCCACCCCGGCAGACACTCTTGGGCTTCTTCCCATCCAGCAGTCCTGGGGACAGTGACGGCCCACCCGGTTTGTCACCCAGCTTCTTCAGCCCTGCTCGTGGGCACGAGGCTGAACTCAAAAGGGCACGTTGAGAATGAAAGTTTAAAAAACAGCTGACCCACCATGTAGAAAATGAAATGTTTTTTTTTTATCAAATATTGATAATTTCCAGGATCCTGGGCACACGCCTGTAGTCCGTGCGCTGCGGGGTCGCCCAGGGGAGGCGCGTGTGCGGGCACGCGGCCGGCGGCGCAGCTCCCTCTCGCGCCCGCAGGGGGCGCGCTGGCCCCGCGCGAAGACAGCCTGGGCCGTTTCGGGAAAACCGGGGCGCGCCACGCGGTCACCTGCGGCCCGCCGCCGCCCGGAACCCAGGACACCGGAGAATACTTTCTGGCAGTCCGTCAGCACACAGAGGGCCCTCCTGTCTGGAGGGGCCTCGCCGGGCCGGAGCGTCCCCACGCCGCGTCCTGCACAGCGGCAGGGCTGAGGGGGCGGCGGCCCTTGCCTCAGTTTCCCCCTCGCCTGGCCCTTTCGAGCACACCGCCGAGGGCAGCTCGGGAAGGTTCCGCAGGGGCCATTCAGGCTGTCCGCGGGCCGCCTCGCCGGCACCGCCCCTGCGCGCGCGCAGCCCCGGGGTCCCGCGCGGGCGAGGAGGAGGAGGGCGCGGCGGCCTCAGTGGATCTCGCCCTCCGACAGCTCCTCCTTGATGGGCTGCTTGCGCGACTTGCAGTCCGGCAGGTCGAAGCCGAAGTCGGCCCACTCGTCGGGGCCCGCGCCCGCGCCCGCGCCCGCGCGGTTGGGGATGGTGATGGTGTGGCGCACGCGGAAGTGCACGGCCTCCATGACGCGCTGCCGCTGCAGCTCCCCGGCGCCGCCGATGGAGAGGGTGGCCGCCGCGTTGCTGCTGGAGCGCAGCAGCTGCTGGCCGTAGTCGTGGCCCTGCTTCAGGTCCTGCAGGCCTCGCCAGATGGTCATGCGGTACTGGTCGGGGATCTTCAGGGCCCCCAGGTCCTGCGAGAGTGCCACCCCGTTAGAGAGCAGGGGTCCCCCCGGGGGGGGGTGACCACCGCAGCAGCAACAGCCGGAGCCCTGGGCGGCCACACAGGCCTCCCCGCCCTGGGGGAGCTGACCCGGCTCACTGGGGCCCGCCCAGCGCCACACAGAGCACACGCACAGGCTGGCGGGGCGGGGGTTAGCGTGACCTCCGCGCTGGGCCTGGGGGCAGGGCAGTGCGTAGACACACAGACAGGGACAGGTCCCCCGGCAGACTCCCCGAGTGTCTGGCCTGCGGCCTGGGCTGCGGACCGGCTTGGACGGCATTTGACCTGGGCAGGCTGGGGCTGCAGAGGGCTCCGAGGTCCTGGGCTGGAGCCCCGAGAGTCACAGGCCGACGCCTGTACTTGTGGGAGACTCGGGGCCCTCCCCATGGCTAATAGGGCATCAGGACTCCTGTGGCCCTACTGTGCGCAAGTCTTCAGGACTGGGCTGCGTGTTCTCACATAGCCCAGGACAATCCCCGGCTGCTGAACCAGGAGGCCTGGCATCAGTGGCCGTGTGTGTGTGATGAGTGGTGTGTGCCTCAGTTTCTCCCTGTGTAAGTGGCGCTAACCCAGGCTGACTCCCCCTGATGCTTCCATTTTTTCATGTTTGTGTCGTGGAAACAGCCCGTCCCTGAAGTCAAAGGCAGCCTGGCTCTGGGCAGCAGACTCCGGCCTGAGAAAGACCCTCAGGCCCCAATGGCCAGCTCAGCTGCTGGACGCCCAGCGCACGCCCCGTCCAGCCCCGCGCCCAACACGACCTGCCTATGCTCGGCGCTGACTGCAGACGAAGTCACTGTCCGCTCGCCCTGGGAAAGGGTTTCCAAACTCCTGCCACGAGAGTGACCACCCAGGTGGAAAGAAAGGCTTTGCCTCTGGACAGGACTCTCTTCGAAGTGGGGCTGCACCTGCCTGGGGCCCCTGCCTCCCTGGGGTGCTTCATGAAGGCCTGGACCCCCACACCTGCCTCAGTGCCACCTGTGACCACCACCTCCACCGAGGACACCACTGGCTACCCCGCCTTGCACAGGGAGCCACACCCGCTGTCTGGGGCGGGCTGTCTGGGGGCCTTTACCTCGATCGTTAGGTTCTGCAGGTGGTAAATGTTCTGTAACCCCTGGGAGGTGAAATACTCGATGCAGTTGGGGCACCCCAATCCTGTTAAAAAACTGCAGAGAGAATTTGAGAAATAAAGTGGCATTAATGTTGGGCTATGTGGGCACACCATGGGGCGGCCAGCCTCGTGGGAACCGCCCCCATGGCCGCTCCTGGCCACCCCACCCACCGCCCTTGGTGGCCACGCGTCGGGTGAGCCTGCAGCTCCTGCAAGATGAGCATGTGCTCAGCCTGGGGCACGTCCGCGGAGGACCCGCGTCTCCTGCTCCTCCTCCTTCTGAGGGAGCCCCCAGCATGTGTTGGATACTCCCATGTGGCAGTCCCCTGCCTGTCTGCTCTGGGTGTCTGAGCAGCTAACACACAGGACGGGACGGGGCGGCATGCAGAGCCCACTCACAGGGCGGCAGCCACGGGCACACCAAGAACGGGGCGGGGTGCATGCAGGGGCTTCGCTCCAGCCGCAGCCCACGTACCTGACGAGGCTGGGGTCGGCGTGGTAGGGGGGTGGCGGAGTGCAGTGGGACCCTGAGACCATGGGCTGGGCGCCGTGGCCGCCGCTGGCCTCGCCGTTGGCCGGCAGGGCGTGGCTGTGGTTGCTGAGCACCCCAGGGCCTGGGAGAGAGCAGGTCACACCGTCAGGGCCAGCCCGGCCGGGTGTCCAGGTGCAGCCTGCACCCAGGCTCGGGACACCATGGGAAGCCCCTGAGGCCTGGCATTATGACCTGGCCTCACCATGGCTAGCGGGAGGCTTGGGCAAGGACTGATCGCCTCGTCTCCTCGGCCCCAGAGGTGGGGACTGGGCAGCGGCCCACAGGAGGGGCTTGGGCCGTGAGGGGCACGGCAGCCGCCCCTGAGTGTTGGCCACGTCCCGGAGCTCTGATGGTGGGGCTGCAGACACCCTGGGGGGGCTTGCTCCCAGCACCTGTGCCCACGCAAGGACCTTCCTGGGAGGGAGGCCCAAACTCCACCCCGCTGAGCCCTGGCATGTGCCGGGCCCCCAGAGCTGTCTTAGGTCATATAATCCTCCCAATGAGCGAGTCTGGTACTTCTGTTGCCATTTGCTGATGGGGAAACTGAGGCTCCGAGAGGAAAAGAACCTTCCCAAGCTCCCTTGGCTGCCACAGGTGGTACAGGGAGTGAGGCACCCGTTCTTAGCCACACCACCCTCCGCCTCCCGAGACTGGGAACCGACAGCGTGGGCCGTCCATGGCAGGGCTTCCTGCTGCAGGTGGGAGCTGCCCGCCATGGACAGCCCTGCCCCCGGGGCCTGAGCTGCGTGGAGTGTCCTGAGCCAGGCCCACCCTCTGGTCTCCCACCCATGAGCCCCACTGGCCCGGGGACTCACCCACGGGCCCCAGGCTGGGCCCGGCCGCTGAGCTGTGAGAAGAGGGCTGGCCCACCAGCTGGTTGACGGAGGGCAGCTTGTTGATGGCCCCGTGCACCTTGTTCATGGGCGACAGCACCGGCCCGTAGGACGGAGGCTGCAGGTGGCTCCTGCTCAGAAGCAACAGGTGAGGTGGGCAGGAGGCAAAGGCAGCCTGGGCCCCGCCAGCCACCACCTCGGATACCCTCGATGCCCCTGTGCCCAGACAGGCGGGGACCACGGCCTCTCCCCGAGACGGCAGAGAGCAGTCTTGCCACCTCCCTGCCCACGACCCAGCTCCCAGCACGGCCCGGCCCAGGGGGAGAGGGTGTTAGGGGGGCAGCTCTCGCCCCTGGACTTGGCCCCTGGTCTTGGTGGGTCAGTGTCACTCCGCCCGCCCCTTCCTGGCCTTCCCACTCAGCAGACATCTACGAGGCCCCACCCTGGAGAGGGGTAGTGAAGCCCATGACCCAGGCTCTAGGGCGGCCCCAGGTTCCAGAAGGTTCTCGGAGTGGAGAGCCTGGGATAAGCCCCCTGAGCTCCGGGCCCTGCTGCCTGTCCCGGCGCTGATGCCCTCCGGAGGGGTTTCTGCCGGGGCTGCCGCCCTCCCCCGGCCCTGGAGTCCACAGGGCGCTGGCGGGTGGCCCGTGGGGGTCCGTGGGGGGCTGACTCACGGCCTCTGCAGGAGCTGCTGCTGCTGCCGGTAGGAGTCGAGCAGCGGCTGCGGCACCAGCTCCATCAGCTCCAGGCTCTCCTTGAGCTTCATCAGGATCTCAAAGTTCTCTCGGCCTCGCACCTGAGCAGAGACACACCTGAGCAGAGACACACCTGGGCGGAGACGCACCTGAGCGGAGACACACCTGAGCGGAGACACACCTGAGCGGCTCTGCCCACGCCCAGTGCGAAGCGTGCCTCCTTTCTAGGGGCTCCCCGCACCCCGAAGACTCAGAGTGCCCCAGCCTTCTGACCCTGACCCGGTGGGGCCCCTGTCCCCCCTCCTGCCGGCCGGCGACCCTGCGAGGGCGCACGCTCACATGCAGGTGGTACGTGTCCTCGTCCCCGTGCCGCCTCTTCTTCACGCCGGTGCCCAGGGCGGGGACAGCTGGGGGGCTCTGCTTGAAAGCTAGAAGGCCAAGCGGGCGGGGGTGAGCCGGCGGGTGCCAGGCCACATGCAGAGGGTGCTGTGGGGGGCCCAGCCCTCACCTGGGACACCCCCATTCACCGGGTCGGGCTGACCCTGCAAGTGGGCTCAGCACAAACAGTCCAGAGGACGGTGACCCACGCAGACGGGCAAACCGCTCAGGTGCCGTGGCCCACGGCCTGGGACTGGGGAGTTGTGTGGGGGCTGCGCTCGGCGGGCTCAGCCGGGGACCCTCTGGGCCAGGGAGGCGGCTCAGGGGCTGGCCCTGTCCCCGGACACGGGCTCGCACTGCCCCTGCCCGTGTGCTCCCCCACCACGTCGCCTCTGGCTCCGTCCCCCATGGGGCTGGGTTGCCGGCCTGCCCCAGCCGGCCGGCCGCTCACCACGCTTGCTGGCGGCGCTGTTCTTCGCGGAGCTCTCGTTCAGGGCCTGCTGCTCGCGGAAGTGGTCCTCGTCGGCTTTGCGGTCTCGGCCAGGACAGGCGCAGATGCGGCCCTCGAAGGACCGGCGGCCCAGCACCTGTCCGCTGTTGGGTGGGCACGGCCGGGGCTGTGAGCTTCGGGGTCCCCCTCCCCCACAGGACCTGCCTCCGTGGGCTGCAGAGTGGTGCCCAGTGCCCGGCGTGGCCAGAGGCGGCCACAGGCTCACAGCTGCGGCTGCTCTGACGCCTCAACCCAGAATCCCTGCTGCTGCCTGGGCAGCGCCTGCCCAGCCCCTTCCCAAACTCGCCCCCGGGCACCCACCACTGGCCGTGGCCTCCCCGTCTCTGTGACAAGCCCCCAGTCGCTGCCCCGGCTCCACCCCGCGTGCCCGGCAGACTTACTCCCGGGTCTCCAGGGTGATGATGATGAGGATGGGCCGCCGATTCATGCCCCCCACGCAGCTGCTGTTGCACATGAAGTTGTACAGGATGGTGGTGAATTCCGTCCCCACCTACGCAGAGGGGAGGCAGGGAGACAGCTCCGCGTCAGCACGGAGGCTCCAGCCCCACGTCTGGTCCTGGCTCCAGGTAGCACAAGGACACCCTGCTCTGTGGTTTTCCGTCATCTGTCCATCAGTCCACTCATCTATCCATTTTCCCACCCATCCATCCATTCATCTACACCCATCCATCTATCCATTCGTCCCTCATCCATTCATCTACCATCCACCCCTCCATCCACTCATCCATCTACCATCCACCCACCCAACTACCCATCCATCTGTCCACATCCATCCAGCTATCCATTTGTACATCATGCATTCATCTACCATCCATATACCCAACTACCCACCATCCATCCATCTACCATCCATATACCCAACTACCCACCATCCATCCATCCACCATCCATCCATCCATCCATTTACTCATCCATCATCCACCATCCATTTATCTACCATCCATCTATCCACTCACTCATCGACTTGCCCATCTACTCATCCATTCACTCTTCTATCCATCCACTCATCCATCCATCCAGCCACCCATCCATCCAGCCACCCATCCATCCACCTACCCATGCATTCATCTGTCCACCCATACATCGATACATCCACCATGTGTCTTTCCATTCACCATCCACCCATCCATCCATCCACGAAGCATCCTGAGTGCCACACACTGTGCTGGCTCTGGGTTCTGAGAGGGATCAGACCTGGCAAGCACAGAGTTCCCTGGTCTGGTTACCCCAACCATGTCCCCTGACCCAGGTTAGAGGTCAAGCCCAGGTGCTGTGTGTGAGTGGGTGTGTGCACAGGCCTTCTTGGGCATATGCATGTGTGTTGCCCGCTGTGGGCTCATCTGAGCAGAAAGGCTCGAGGGGCTGCTCTGACGGAGGGATGGGGGCTGGGGGCTGGGGGTGGGTAGGTCTCAGAATGAGGTACAGGAAAGTTGGGGACCTTCCCTCCCTGGGGGCCTGGTGGCTACTCCCCACCTACTGTCCTGGCCTCTGCTTTCCCCCAGCCCAGACTTTCACACCTGGTGGGCCTCAAAATGGTGTCCTGAAACTTTTGTCCTTGGGTTCAAGGTCAGACCACCCCAACTACTCTGTGCCCACCAACCTCAAGCCTGCACCCCACTTCTATCCCAAACTCCTGCTATGGCTTATACCCCTCCCAGCCTGCACCCCCATAGCCTCACACCCCTCCCACCTGCACCCCCTATAGCCTTATACCCCTCCCAGCCTGCACCCCCTATAGCCTTACACCCCTCCCAGCCTGCACCCCTATAGCCTTATACCCCTCACAGCCTGCACCCCCTATAGCCTTCTACCCCTCACAGCCTGCAACCCCCACAGCCTTACACCCCTTCCAGCCTGCACCCCCCACAGCCTTATACCCTTCCAGCCTGCACCCCCTATAGCCTTATACCCCTCCCAGCCTGTGCCCCCTATAGCCTTACACCCTCCCAGCCTGCACCCCCCACAGCCTTACACCCCTCCAGCCTGCACCCCCTATAGCCTTACACCCCTCCCAGCCTGCACCCCCCACAGCCTTACACCCTCCCAGCCTGCACCCCCCATAGCCTTACACCCCTCCAGCCTGCAACCCCCACAGCCTTACACCCTCCCAGCCTGCACCCTCTATAGCTACACCCTCCCAGCCTGCACCCCCTATAGCCTTACACCTCTCCCAGCCTGCACCCCGTACAGCTGTACAGCACTTGTAGCCTGCACCCCCGCCAGCCCCTGCATATACACTTAGTGGCCTGGTTAGCTCTCTCCTCGCTGCAGGCCCTCCCCACATGGGGCCTTAGCCTCTCTGGGCCCCTGCCTGGCCGAGGGGCCCTTCCGGGTCCCGCAGCTCCCAGAGTAGGCCTTACCATTAGGAGCAGGCGCTGGTTCGCTGCTTTGTCAGCCAACCCATCTGGTCTAAGCAGGCCAGGACCACCCCAGCACCTCATCCTTGTGTCCAGGCATGAAGGGAGGGCAAGCTAAAGGCCTGGGGGTCGTCTGACACACCCCCACTATAGCGCTGGGGACACTGAGGCCCAGAGAGGGCCCTTGGCAGGTCCAGGGCTAGAGCACAGTGGTGGTCAAGAAGGTGACAGTGAAGGCCGGGTGCGGTGGCTCACACCTGTAATCCTAGCACTCTGGGAGGCCGAGGTGGGTGGATCACTCAAGCTCAGGAGTTCGAAACCAGCCTGAGCAAGAGGAAGACCCTGTCTCTGCTAAAAATAGAAACAAATTAGCTGGACAACTAAAAAATATATATATATGAAAATTAGCCGGGCATGGTGGTGCATGCCTGTAGTCCCAGCTACTCGGGAGGCTGAGGCAGAAGGATCGTTTGAGCCCAGGAGTTTGAGGTTGCTGTGAGCTAGGCTGATGCCACAGCACTCACTCTAGCCTGGGCAACAGAGTGAGACTCTGACAAAAAAAAAAAAAAGGTGACAGTGGCGCACGTGCAGGGGAGGGGAAGGGCCCGTGTGGTGAGGAAGGTGCCCCCCATGACGACACTTAGCTCGGGGAGTCAGCAGGACAAACAGCTCGGCCAATGAAGTGAGACGGGGTGTCCGCCCCAGGGCCCCCCCCTCTGTGGCCCTGGCCTACCTGTGGGGGCTCGTAGGGCACCACGACGCTCTGCCTGCCGGTGACGGGGTCGTCCACGTACTGCGAGAGGTTGTTGCCTTCCACGCGGATGAGGTGGCTGGCCGGGGCAGACTGTCCTGCCGGGAGGCGTCGCTGCTTCAGGGGGGCGCCCTCCGGGGTCTAGCGTGGTCTGCCCGCCCCGTGCCAGGCGTGTCTCAGCAGAGCTGGACGCCAGCCCAGCCCTGCGGGCTTCCCAGGTGGGGCTCGTGCCTGCTGGCAGCCTTCGTGCCCTTGGGTGCCTGGCCCCGGCACACGGGACAGGGGTGCCACTCCGCACAGGGTGCCCAGGGCCCAGAAGCCCGTCCAGCACCTCAGCTCCTCCCAGACCCCCACCCTGCCCCGGAGCACCAGCCCCTCCCTGAACCAGGGGCGGCTCTTGCGGGAATGGCCGAGCCCACGCCATTCGCCCACTCGCCACCCCCTTCTCTCTGCCCTTGCAGGCTGGGGCGCCCAGACTGAGGCCCAGTGGGGCCCTCACCTTCATTGAAGTCCCTCCCGAGCTCGTGGTTGGGGCAGCGCTTCACGATGTCGGTCACATGCTCCGCCTTCTTGTAAACAGGCATGGCGCGGATGGCGGTGCCCGGGGGCGGCGGGGTGGACACCTTGACCTGGATGGGGCACGTCTTGGCGATCTGGCAGTAGAGCTTCTTCAGCAGCGGGGAGTACTGGTGGGGAAGGGGGCGGTTGAGCCCTGCGGTGCCAGCTCCCCACCCTCGCCCGGCTGCGTCCTCCCCATGGGAGCCCCTTCCTCCTGCACCCCATGAGGACTGCCCATGTGCACGTGCACCCCCTCCTCCAAGCTCCTCCAGCATCCTCTCTTCAGAGCCCAGACACGGGCACCTCTGCCCCGGCACCCACTGCACCGCCGTCACGTGATTTGCGTGCAGTGACAGCATGGCTCGAGTGTCGGCTGCAGCCAGGCTCGGTGCTCTGCGCCCAGATCGCGCTGGAGAGGAAGGTACCGTCACATCCGTTTTATGGCTGTTTATGGCTGAGGACGGTAAAGGCCAGAAGAGGGAGAAGGAGCTACCGGGGGTGGGCTGGGGGACAGGGAGTCCCCAGAGGGGACCTCAGGCCCCGGCTGCAGTGGTCTGAAGAGGAGGGTGGGCATCATCGGGTCTGCTTTAAGAAGCCCAGAGTCAGGCTTCTCCAGTGTTTGCACACAGGCGGGCTCCCCTTACCCATTTGTGCACCGGCAGAGAACCCCTGGATCAGTGTGACAGCCTCACATGTGGCCCGTGGCCCATGACCTCGGCCACCCTGGGGACTCTGACAGCCCCATCCTGCTGCAGCCCTCAGTCCCCGCAGCTGCGTGGCGTAGTCTGGGCCACTGTGGGGGCCCCGCTGGCCACGCAGCCCCAGTACCGCCAGCCCACGACGTGAGGGGATGTGAGGTCTGCCCAGGGCCGGCCAGATGACGCCCGTCCTGGTCGAGCCACCACAGGGACCTCCAGCATCCATCCCCCTCGGGTCTCAGTTTCCCCTCTGAGCACCAAGGCCAACCCTCATGGGTTCCAACGGTGACCCTGCTGCAGCCACCGCAGGGGCATCCGTTGCTGTCCGAGCTGGCTGACAGCCCCAGTGACGAGCCCCCGGGGAACCGCCAGGGACTCAGCCCTCTTCCCGCAGGGACGCCGGGAATGTTCCGGTCTCATTCTCAGATTCCTGCCCCTGCTCCATCCCTCTGCACCCCGCACCCCCAGTGACTCCGAATCACAAGGTACCACAGCCACAGTGTCCTGGAGAACACTCCCACACTCTACCACGGTACAGCCAGGGAAACTGAGGCTGGACACAGGGAGCCGCTGGTAGAACCAGGGAAGGAGCAGGTGGAACCCACCCTCCCCCCAGAGCTTTTCCTTTGCCAACATGAAAGAGGGGGGCCCTGACCCCCTGGTCACCAGGAGACACAGGGACACAGTGGCTCAGCAAGTAAATGCACAGGAAAGTCAAGGAGGGAAAAGGAAGAGAGAGACGGGGAGTTGAAGCTGATGGGGCCATGAGTCAGGGCGGGTGGGTCTGGGTCCCCAGCACCCCGAGAGCCCCCGGCCTGAAACTCAGCCATGAGCGTGAGGGGCTATAGGGACAGACAGGGGGCAGTCTCCACTCAGTGTCTCCTACGGATGGGAACTGGATGCCTGCAGGACCTGCCCCGCCCAGGTCCCCTGCCACCTGGGGGCCCGGAGCCCAGGGCAGCCCATTGCCCCCACCTTGGGCTCGGAGCTTGAGCAGGAAGCGGCGTGTCCTGGGACTCAGCCCTCTGTTTAAACACAAGGAACAGTCCCCAAGCACAGCCCTGCAGGTGGGGCCGGGCGCCGTGCAGAGCAGCAGCAAACACCCTGCAGAGCAGGCAGCCTCAGCCCTGCACAGGGGGTGGTCCCGGGCTGGGGGGCGGAGGGGGCAGCCCCAGGGCCACCCAGGGAGAAGAGCAGCATCCTCGTTGTGGGGTCAATCTCATTCCCTTGCGGGTGACCGCTGATGTCCAGTGCCCCCTTCACCGCCTGAAGCACCCCTCTGGAGGGCAAGCAGGTCATCCTTCCCAGGGCTCAGACAGACGGGCCCTCGGCCGCCCTCTGAGCAGCCTGTGTCCGGGCTCTGGCTCCTGGGACACGGGCCTCCTCCAGCCGGCACGGGGCAGCGTGGTCCCCGTCTGTGCTGCTTGGGGACAGGAGGGGCCGGGTGGGCCAGGCTCTCTGTGCTAGCACCACACAGGTGAGGGGACACGGGGCCAGCAAGTGCAGAAGAGGCTTCCAGGCTTCTCCGGGGCCCAGGGCAGCCTTCACAGCGAGCTACCCACTGCCGAGCATTTATGGAGCACCTCCTGTGTGCAGAGCACACATCCCCCTCCTCTCATCAGTGACATATCGTGTGCAGCTGGCACTCAGTAAATGCACACTGACTCCGCACGTCCTCCAGCCCACCCCTGGGAGAGACACACGGGGTGACATCCGCAGAGCACAGGGGACCCCCAGCACTGAGGGAACCTGTGCTTAGGGCAGCAGCAGCCCTGCCCAAAGCAAACACTAGGTGCCAGTTTAGTGCCCGGCCCTCTTGCTTACTAACAAGTGAGGCTTCAGAACACGTCCCTGACCTAGCAGTTGTGCAGTCTCACACGGGGACATGCTTGTGAGCACTGTGGGGATGGTGGAGGGGCCCATGGGGCGGCGGGCCTCGCAGAGACCCGAACACAGCTGGTGACAGAGGGCTGAAAGGACTGGGAGAGCCATCCATTCACCAAGCACTTGTTGAGCGCCTACTGTTTGCCAGGACCCAGGTGCCTAAGGACAGCAGGCTGAGGGGAGGGAGGCAGGCCTGGCCCGGGGCAGCCACAGAATAGTCTGAGGTCTGGCGTGGGGGTCCCCAGTCTGGCTCTGGCATTTGCTTCAAGACAAACCTCTCAGGACCTAACCAGTGACTCAGTGCACATGACAGCTTAGAAGAGCCGGCCGGCAGGTGTCAGTGGTGTGACAAGGTGACCAGGGGGTGTGGCTGTTGGTGCCAAGGTGGGAGTGGGGAAGGGGGAGGGCTCCCCTCCTCCAGCATGCATGCCTGGTGCCCCTGTGGTCCTCACTCTAGAACCAAACCCCCCAGGCCTGAGATGGGGTCACAAGGCAGGGACCAAGGTGGGCAGCCCAGGTGTGACAGGGCCCTGCAGCCCCGCCTCACCTGGAGGGAGGGTTGGCGGCCCAGGATTCTCAGCAGTGTTCCCACATAATGTTGTCCCTGTGGCTCCCTGACAGCCCGCCCCTGCAGGACCACCCTGGCTCTTCCCCCGGGCTCCCGCCCCAGCCCTGGTGGCCACTGTCCTCCACGGAGCCTGGGCTCCTTGCTGCCTGGACCATGGCAGCAGCCTCACGGCAATTCTGCAGACGGGTGGACCATTATGGAAGATTCTGGAAGATAAGGTCTGCAGAGCCAGACCCGCCCCTCCGAACTCCCAGGGGATTGTCTCCGGGGTGGGGGTGGGACCCAGGTGAGCCAGCCTGGGGAACTGAGGAGGCAGGTGGGGGAGGGGTGGAGGTGCAGTTGACACAGGCACAGGGTGTGGGGCGGAGCCGGCGCTGGGAGCTGTCCCTGGTACCGCAGCGGTGGCCGGACCTCTCACTACCGCAGCCCGGCTAGGAGAGAGGCCCAGGCCCAGAGCCACAGTGACAAGGCCACTGCCCCAGGGCGGAGTGAGCACCCCTCGTCCCCTCTGTGTCCCGCAAGGCTGCCAGAGCCCTGGGCCTGACCCCGCTCCCCACGGCGTGTCTCCAGCACGATGCTCACGGGGCCTTCCGGGCACACCCGCCAGCCCCGCCCTGGCAACGGATTGGACCCCGCGTCCAGCCTGGCCCCGGTCGGGCAGACAGTGGGCAGACAGTCGGGGGAGGGGGACACCTTCGGTTCTCCCAGACCTGCAGCATCAGCTGGTGACACTGGCGGCCGGCCGCAGGACAGGAGGGAGCCCCAAGTATGGAAAGTCCCCAAGCTCCTTCCTGCTCCCCAGACCGGGAAGCGGCAGGAGGGGACTGGGGTGGCTGCCCCTTCCATAGAAAAGGTCATGTGGAGACGCTTCCCCTCCGCCACCCTCCCTCCCTCCTGCCCTCTCCTTCCCCAGAACCGCTAGATGGATGTGTTTCAACAGATTCCGAGCTGATAAAACCTTATTTATCTTCGGCTGTTGACACAGCGCCGTCTAGACTTGCCTGCCCGGGATGCGTGTACTCCGAGTGCTTGCAGGAAATGCTTTGCCCAAACACTGCGGTGTGCCGCCCTTCCCCCACCCGCCTCTCCCCTCGACCCCTCCTCCCCGCCCTCCCCTCCCCCACCCCGGTCCAAGATGGGCGGCCTGGCTGGGAGCCCCGGCCTGGCAGGGCTGGCGCAGGGTGGGGGGGCGGTGGCGTAGGGCTGTTAATTTCCTCGCGCCCTCTCCCCAGCAGCTGGGCGCCGGGCGCGGGCAGGTTTGGGCAGGAGGACAGTGGAGAGGTGATAATAACGTGTCTGTCATTTTCCCGGGACGTGCAGCATCTTGCAAACCGCAAATACCGTTAACCAGCTTGGGTGAATCTGTTACAACAGATTCTGGAAGACGGGCCTGCAGTGGGGGCTTTATTTTTTAAATGATTTTTTTTATAGTCCACTTTTATCCACTTTCCATGCATGTGTGCACACGTGTGTGTGTGTGTGTGTGTGTGTGTGTTTAGAGCCACATTTTTCCCCTCGTGCGTTGCAGACCCCACCCCCCAAAATCCCCGGACCCTTTCTTTCCCTAGAAAAGCCCCCAGGGCTAAGCCACAAACACTTGGCATGAAATTGGTGAGTTCACAGATTGAGCCCCCAAAACCCACGCAGGACCTCGGTCAAGAGCCCCAGGATTATGGTCCCCCTGGGTCCCTCCCTTCCAGGTGAGGAGGGTCTCCTTGGGTGACAGGAGCCACACAGCCCACCCTGTGAGCACCCCTTCGGGGGAGCCTTGTGCCCTGCACTGGTGCACAGCCTCGCTCCATCCTGGGACGCTGGGAGCTTGGTGTGTTCTGGCAGGATGTCAGGGTGGCTGGTCCCTGCCCAGGGAAGCCATAGCTGGGAGGGGGAGGGGGCACATGTGACCATCTCCCCCACCTGCTTCAGAGCACCTGGCATTGAGCTGGAGCCGCCCAGGTCAAGAAGCGATGAACATCCCCAG